TAAATCTCTCCCTTCTGTAACACCAGCTTTGCTGTCTAAGTAGAGTAATCAGTCTCTTTGACAGTAGAATGGACGTGTTAGCCGAAGCTGTAAACTTTTTATACAGCAGTCGATTTCCACAATCCTACCAACTGTCGATCAAAAAATAGTTAATCTTATCCTTCAATACGTCAATGTTCTCTCTAAAGAAATGCAATTTTCTAGATTGAGGAGGGCTATGTAGCGATGTGGAATGAATGCATTCTATGCCCTTATTTCCTAAAAAATAATGTGTCCATACTCCTCACGTCTGCTAAATGTAAGAATTTTTCCCTTCTATAATTGTTGGTTTAACCCCTTAGTGACCAGACCATTTTTCAATTTTCTTACCGTTAAGAACCAGGGCTGTTTTTACATTTCTGCTGTGTTTGTGTTTAGCTGTAATTTTCCTCTAACTCATTTACTGTACCCACACATATTATATACCGTTTTTCTCGACAATAAATGGTCTTTCTAAAGATACCAATTATTTTTATCATATCATATAATTTACTATAAAAATTTTTCATAAAATATGATTAAAAAATTTCAAAATCACACTTTTTCTAATTTTGACCCTCAAAATCTGTTACACATCTACAACCGCCAAAAAACACCTGTGCTAAATAGTTTCTAAATTTTGTCCTGAGTTTAGAAATACCCAATGTTAACATGTTCTTAGCTTTTTTTTTTTTTGCAAGTTATGGAGCTATAAGTACAAGTAGGACATTGTTGTTTCAAAATATATATTTTTAAAATGTATCAATAGTTACATTGTAACACTGTTATCTGTCATAAATCTCTGAATCACACCTCACATGTACATATTTTTTAGAAAACCCAGGGTATTCAATATGGGGCATGTCCAGTCTTTTTTAGTAGCCACTTAGTCACAAACACTGGCCAAAGTTAGCATTTGTTTGTGTGTTAAAAATACAAAAAACATGAACGCTAAACATGAACATGAACGCTAACTTTGGCCAGTGTTTGTGACTACTATAAGCACAATAAAAAAAAATAAAAAAAAATATTAAAGAGAATGGGTCCAAGTACAGATCCCTGAGGTACCCCACTGGTGACAAGTCCAAGCTTCGAATATATTCCATTAACTACAACCCTCTGTTGCCTGTCACTCAGCCCCTGCCTTACCCAGGGCCGGATTAACATAGGGGCTGATGGAGCTGCAGCTCCAGGCCCAGGCCCATGGAATAGGCCCATTTAAAAAAAAAAAAAAAATGTAATTTTTTTTTTTTTTTACACACTTCTCTTAGGTTTGCCACCTGGCTGGTATTTTACTGGCACAGCCGGTATTTGAGGCTGCCTGGCTGCTGCCAATATTGCAGTGATACTGGCAATACGAATGCTGGTATTTTTCTCAGTATAAATAGAGATTACTCTGCAATACCAGCACTGGCCAGTAGGGGTCACTGTGTATGGAGAGAGGCAGGGATAGGAAGTTCCAGCATTTCCCTCACTGCCTATCTATACTCACTGATCTGCAGGGGTGCAGCTACAGAGAGTCCAGACAGCAACTCCCACCCTGCAGAGACAGCCTACAGCTCAGGGAAATAAGGGATGGGGAAAGGCTGCAAGGAGACATACACTGAAACACTAAGGGGCACTGGGAGACATTATGGCAGACACTG